TGTTCCACATACTGACCCGAGGGAGTGTTCAGCATTTGTGAAATGGCTTCGTTGGCCGAGTCACGAACATCTAAGCTGTTTACACGTCTTAGCTGTAAAAAACTTCGATTGCACTAGATGCTGCTAATTTGGAATGGTATTCAACTTTACTTTACAGCTAAACACTTAAGAATTTAGCGTGCTTCTAAAAATATTTAACAGCTCAATCAATTTGCAAAAAATATTTTAGAAAATTGTCAGTAAAATATACTTAAAGCCAAAATAGTTACGTTTTTGAAAGGAAAATAACTCTTATTAGCGAACTTTATTTATTAAAAGTTTAGTGGCGGTTATTAGCTGAAACGCAACTAATGTTATATATAATTGTTATAAGAATTAGTCGATAAAGAAGATATGATCTAAAAATAACATAATACAGACTAATTATGGAAATGAATGAAATGATTGTAGGGTCCTTTGAGTTAGAGGTAACACCATTAAAAAATACATCTAATAGTCCTGTCTTAAAAAAATGATAATTGTTTTTATTTCTGTTCGAAACAGCTTTAGACTAAAAACTTTACAACTATGGCAAATAAAACGAGACAAAAAAGGGAAAAGAACAACAATGTGTTCGGCTAACAAGTATTTGATTTAAATTTTCTTTCAAGATCTTCCAAAGCTTTGCTGGAAATGCAATTACATAATCTTCCAGATCAACAGGAATAGATAATGATGTAAAGGACAAAATAAAAGAAGAAACTAGAAGCTTTAAATGTATTAGAAAAGTTTAAACGAACATGGAACATGGTACTTGTCTGGCATCTAACATTTTAGTTAGGCAAGCATAATTGATTTCTAATAAAAACCTGTAATTGTTTGTAGTATTAAAGAAACGCTTTGTCGCCATTTGAATTTAAATGAATTTTGTAATCAGAGCACATTTCTTAGAAAGGCAGTGCTTGTCAAAAATACAGTTCTGTTTGCTCAACTAAATTAAATTTAAATTTTATAAATGATTCGCTCCCAATCATCAATTATGTAGGCTTCGTGGAAAATATGCTGTGAAATGAAATTTAAATGCCGAATGTTTCAGCTCATTAAGGCAGTACACCCAAATATCAGCACACATCAAAGTTTTCAACAACAACAATAACAACCAAGCTGACTGGAAAACAAACAGACCCAACCCATCACCATCCCCATCTCTATCCAATCCAACCCGGTCCTTTACTTGTATGAATATGCTCACAATGCTATGCGCCACGTAAAAGTTTGCTTGTAATTGCTGATTTTCCAGTTAATAATCATTTTAAATTGTGTGCGCGCACAAGCTTCGCTTTTATGTGGCTGTGTGTGTGTACGAGCTTGTATGTGTTAGCCATAATGGTACTTAGTTTGCCATTTCGTGGCAGCCACGCCATTGTGTGTGCGCATTTGGCACAAAATTCAGCCTAAAACTCGAATGTGAAAAACTTTTGTGAAATTACCGCAAGTATTTCCATGAATAAATACATAGTTGAACGAATGGAGTTGGCTGGCATACAAAGCTGCAAGCGGTAGTTTGTAAAACTGATGATTGGTTGTTACGTAATAAACGACTTTTGGCAAAAGCAACAACATGATTTCGTTGCACTCATAACTCAGAAGATGCTAAGCTTTACTATTAAAAAGGACAGAGTAAGCCATTAGGTAATTTTTGCAAAGATTTATGTCTGTAGTCTGCTTTCGCAACAAGTTTTGATTAGATTGGAGCTGTTGTGCAATCATTGGGTAAATTGCAAAGATTGAGCCCTGTGGCTGCTAATGGAAGGGCATACAAACGTACTTAGGTCACTAATTGCTGACTTGGGTCATTCACACTGCTGTGCGACAGTTTTCGGACAAAGTTGGCGTCGTAAATTAATTTTGTGTTTATTAAATGGCAAGAGATGTATGATTTCGATTTCTAATGAAGGCATTGAAAAAGCGCTGGAAAGATATTAACGTACTTGAAAAGTTCCGACGATATATATTTAATGCTCGAAATATAGTAAATTTTTAATCTTATTAGTGCAATTATTTTTGCTACCTATATATACATACATATTTTGTTTGCCAATGTATGAACTAATTAAAACCACAAGACTTTGCTTGCCACCATTTAATTCAACTTGTGGGAACCCGTAAATTTTTTAATATTCCCAAAAACATAACATCCTATAATTAAGTCACAAATAAATAAAAATCTTGTAGTAAGCTTGTTTTATTTAGTTCTGAAAATATATATTTAATGCTCTAAATATAGTAAATTGTTAACCTTATTAGTGCAATTATTTTTGCTACCTATATATACATATATATTTTGTTTGTGAAAGTATGAAGTAAATAAAACCACAAGACTTTGCTTGCCACCATTTAATTCAACTTGTGCGGAACCCGTACATTTTTATACTCTGTAGATGAAATGTACAGAAGTATATTAGGTTTGCGGGAGCTGAAAAATGTAACAGGCAGAAGGAGGCGTGGCAGACCCCACAAAGTATTGATGAGCGTGCCAAGACGAGTCGATCTAGCCCTGTCTGTCTGTCTGTCCGCCTGTCCGTCCGTATGAACACCTGGATTTCAGAGACTACATCAGATAGAGACAACAAATTTTCCACAAAGATGCCTTATGTATGTACGCTATACGAGTTTGTTTTATTTTTTTTGATTATCCCCCCCCCCCCGGGGGTTTTCCCGATTTTCCATTCGTATAATCGCCTATATCTCGGAGACTATGAGACCTAGGAACACCAAATTTTAGTCCCAGATGCCTTATGTGAATACGCAGAAAATGTATATTTTGGAATTTCCCTTCCTCCCCCCTCTCCCCAGCAAATCGTAACTCCTTTAATTCTTGGAATTCTTACTTTTTTAATTTCTATAATTATTGTAAGCATATGTACAGAGTATTTCAAAGTCGGGACACCCGACTTTAGCTTTTTTACTTGTTTAATATTCCCAAAAACATAACACTCTATAATTAAATCACAAATAAATAAAAACTTTATTGCAAACCTATTTAACTAAGAAAGAAGAGAAAGAATATTTTATTTATTTAATTTTCTGTAGCAAATGACCGTGTTGTGTTATGTTGTGTATTGTGTTTTATTTGTAGTTATTTAAAGTTAAAGTTTCTGCTTGTTTTTCGTAAAATATTGCTGGCACAAATTCAGCCAAGTGTAACAAACATTTTGGCCAGCATTGTAGTTTGCTTTAAATTTGCATTTCGCATTTTACAGTAAGTTTCAGTCTCGATTTGTGTGTCTATGTGGTTGTGGCGCATCTGTGGGTTTTGCCTACAAAGGAGCTTACAACTTTAGCCTGCACTACACCGATACACACAAACAGAAAACACACAAGCCCACAGACAGAGAAACTGATAAAGGCATATAGTGCATAAATGCATGTGTGTGTGTGTGTGTGTGTGTGTGTCTGTGCGTGCTGGCATTATTGTACCTTGCGTGGGATTTTGGAGTGCTATTCAGGCTCTGCTTTTATAGTCAAATATGAATGCGCATATGAGGTTGCCACACACACTGCCACTTTTATTTGTATCTATATGTGTGTGACTCGACTGTCCCTTTGTTCTTAGTATTATTATTGTAAATTCCTTTGCATTTAATATTGAAAACTATTTCATAATTAGAGTTTACTTTAGCTTATTTCACATTTATATTTAAAACATTCTGATATTCGTATTGTGTTATAATGTGAACATTTTTCTACCGAAAATCTTGTGAATTCCTGTGGTTTTTATCATTGCTGCTATACAAGTACTTGTGGTTTGCGTTGCTTGGCAATTTATAATTGTTATAGTTTTTCTGTTGGTGTTATAGCTAGCACATTGCCAAGGCAATTGACGTTTTCTGGCACATTTAATCAGTTATTAACGGACGAAAGAACGGGCGGACTGAGGCCGTTATTGCGCTGTGGGAGTTATGACCAATTAGGAACTCAATGGGGTTGAAAATTGTGAAGTTACCGCTATCGTCCTGAACTTTCTGGACGTTATTGCATCGAACAAACAAAATGAATGGGAGCAGGTGTTGATTTTATCGATTGTGCACAAGGGGTTTGACCTACTGTTCGAAATGGTGCTCCTCATGGAGTGGGAGAGGGGAAAGGATATTGGTTACTATTGCTAAAGCAATTTTAAAATTGCCCCAAAATGTGGAAACTATGACTCTGTTTGCAACTTCCGCAAGGCAATTAAACTTTAATAAATTCTATAAAATGCAACTTAAATAATTGCTTTAATGTGTATCCAATTGCTTAGGAAAGTTCATATATAAGCTTTATGTTGAAATAAAATTTAATTGTAAAGAAACATAGTTTTCTAAAGTCAACTTTTGTCAAATTTCGGTATTTAACTACACTGAACCATTTAACATTTTATGGCGTAGCTTATAAACATAAAACTGCTTGTTGCAGAAGAGGGTTTGAATTAAATTAATTAATTAATTCCCTTAATAGCTGTCTGAACATACTTTCGTAATTTAAATATTTTTTAAAAGTATTAAATTAAATGTGTGCCAAAAGAGCATTCAGTTTAGGGGGAAATATATCAATATATAATAAAGGTATATTCAATATAACTTTTTTCATCCTCTGACCAAAGTCTAATACTACTCATCAATAGTAGTCATCCCTAAAACACTTAGGATTAGTTACTGACTAGTCACACTGCAAAATTACTATCGAGCAACTGTAATCCTGTATCCAACAGTGATGATTTGAAGGTTCGGCGAAATAACATATATGTACTTCTTTCAAAAATGTATTTACAGAGTGATTTCCTTTCCCGCTTTATTAAAATGTGATCCAATAATATTAAAAACATACTGTTCGTATGTCAATTTCACATCGCATAGGAGCATTTAATGATAAATAATTTAAATTCTTGAAAATAATTTGTGCCAAAATATTTGTCCAATTTAATGTGGACTTAGAAATGGTTTTCAAATTTTTAGAAATTTAGAAATGGATTGGTTACTTACCCTTGATCCCTCTGAAGTAGTCACACATGTACCGCCATTGTAGCAGCCCAGTTTTATGCAATCAACATCGGCAGTTTTCTCCTCGACTCCGCCGCCAGAGCCCGCACCGGCACCAACGCCAGTGGCCACAGTGTTGGCGCCCTCGGTTTCCTCACTGCTTTCTGTAGTTGGCGCCTTTGTTGCCGGCGGCGCAGGTGGCTTATATACAGGGACTGTGGGCGGTGGCAGAGTTTGTGCTGACTGCGTTGAGGGTGGCGTGGGCGGCACAGTGGGTGGTAGTGTTGGTGGTGCTGTGGCCGGCGTTATTGTGGGCGGCAGAGTAGGTGGAAGGCTGGGCGCCGAAGTTATTGCCGGTGTTGGAGCTGTGGCGGACAGCTCCGTGGGCGCTTGCGTTGGCACTAGTGTTGCAGCGGGCTGATATGGCGGCACGGTAGTGGTTTCCGCAGCCAATGGCTCCACTGTGGTTACAGGCACTGGCTGTTGGACGCCAATTAAGTCTTCTGTCAACAGAGGCTGCGGGGTTGTCATCTCAATGGGCATGGGAGTGGTTTCGGGCGGTGCAATGCTGCTGGGCACATGATGATGATGGTGATGGTGGTGCGGCAGTTCGGTTGCGTCAACTGGGGGCGTTACTGTTGTTGCTTCACCCTCAACAGGAATGGGCAAGTGTGTCGTCTCGTGGTGATGATGATGGTGGTGATGATGATATGGATGCATCGTTCCAGGGACAGTTGTGGTTGTCATGAGAGAGGGCATGGTGTCGTTGGCATCCAGTATAGTGACAACCACAAGTGGCGTACGTGCGGTGCTCAGCTCGACCAGAGGCGGTTCGTAGTCTAGTGGCGATGTGGTAGTTACCGGTGGTTGTAGCGTAGTAAAGCGACCAGCGCTGGTTCGATGTGTAGTGATAAGCACTTCCGATGGGAACTCTGTGAAGAAGGGAGCCGCTGTGGTGGGCACTTCGGTCCACAGATGCTTTGTGGTGGTGGTGGTTTCATCAATATCTAACGGTGGCTCAGTAGCTGGCGGTACTGCAAACGTGGGTATGGGCAGCGCCGTCTTCATTGTAGTCATCGCAATTGGCGGTGCGAGTGTAGGCGTCGAAAAATCTAAGGTGATGCTGGTCTCGATGGTGGTTACGCGATGTATGAACGTGGGAGATGGTGTGGTGAAGACTGCTGCGGGCGGTTCGCCGGATTCAGCGCTCGATGAACTAGAAGTAGGCGTATAGTCGACCGAGATGGTTATGCTGGGTGGTGGCGGTGGTGGCAAGGGCCGAGCGGTTGTAGTTGCTTCATCGCTGCCGCTGCCGCTGCCACTGCCACTGGCACTCACTTCAAAGCGCGGCACAGGCGTGTATTCGTCGGATGTGACAACTTCCACGGAACTTTCGGCGGAGGACGTTGAGGCGCCGCCATCAATGGGATATATAACTGGGGGCTCGGTAGTTCCAGAGGCGTGACTTGCACTTTCCTCCACCGAGCCTGACGCGCTGCTCTCAGGCAGAGGTGCTGTGGTGGTGGTCAAGGGCGCTGGTTGTGGCACCACGGTAGTGTGCTCGTCAGAAAGACTGTGACTTTCGCTCTCTGGTGGTGCAGGCGTTGGCTTGACCTCCACTGATTCGTCTGAGGCCGATGACGACGAGGAGGACGACGAGGAGGAAACAACAGATACATCAGCTGTCGCAGTTGTTGTAATTGGAGGCGCTGGGGCGGGAGTGGGTAATGGCGTTGTCTCTGGTGGTGTCACAGGCCGCACTGTAGGCGGACTCAGCGTCGAAGGGGCTGTATAATTGCAGTCCAGCGATTCCTCGCCTACCATCAGACACTCGCACAACATGCCCGTTAGCAGGGGAGGACATGAACACGAAAAGGTGTCAACGCCATCGATACACACGCCCCCGTTCATGCAGCGCGGCCCCAACTGGCACTCATCGTACTGATATTCACATTTCTCGCCATGATAGTCGGGAACACAATAGCAAGTGGGCACAGTCTCCTCCATGAGACAGAGTGCATTGTTCTGGCAGGGATTATCCGAACAGATGAGTATCTCCTCCTCACAATTGGTGCCCGTATAGCCCATGGGACAAGCACACGCGTACGCGGCCAATTTGTCAACGCACACGCCCCCATTTTGGCAAGGCGACGAAGCGCATTCGTTAATCTCCTCCTGACAGATGCGACCATGCCACCCGGCCGGACACTCGCAGGTGAATTCTAGTCCCGGACCCTCAATGCATTCGCCGCCATGCTGGCAACGTGCACCGGTGCCTGCGATAAGCCAAAAAGTAGTCCAACAGTTGCGGAGAGGTGGGGTGGGGTGGGGAGGGGAGGAGAGCATAAAAGTTGAGAAAAGTTTTCATTAAAAAGTACGAGTACGCACAAGTTTTTATCCATTTACACTTTATTGCTGCTCTGTAGCGCTGTAGCGGAAACTTACCCGTGTCACAGACAGCAACATCGACCTCGCAATGATCCCCCAGATAGCCTGCCTGGCAGGTGCATGTGTAGCCATTGTTTCGGTCCCGGCACAGTCCGCCATTTTGACATGGATTTGACATGCATTCGTCGACATTCTGCTCGCAATTCGATCCTGAACAGCAGGAGCGGGAGGAGGGATGTGTTGATATTTGCATGAAATGGCAAGAAGAATATGGAAAGTGACGTTAATTGATAGCATCGCCAAAGCTAAAGTTTCATAGTCAGTCGCTCGTCATTGTCGTCCTTCCAGTGACATTGTGTTCGTTGCAATATGCACAATTCTCTGACCCTGTCTGTATGCATGTGTGTGTGCCTGTGTGTGTGCCTGTGTGTGTGTGTGTGGGTGACCAACGGACTAAGGGTGTGTATGCCTTTTAATTAAAAATTCATGTTTCAGGTTAAGGTTATAGCATTTTCTCCCCCTCCCCCTTCATTGTGGCCTTTTTTTATACCCTGTACCCGTAGGGTAAAAAGGGTATATTAGGTTTGTGCAAAGTATGTAACATGCAGAAGGAAGCATCTCCGACCTCATAAAGTATATATATTCTGAAACAGAATAACGAGAGAAATCGATTTAGACATGTCCGTCCGTCCGTCTGTCCGTCCGTCCGTCTGGATGAACGCAAGGATCTCAGAAACTATAAAAGCTGGAATAACCAAAGTTGGCATCCAGATTCTCCCAGTCCGAGAAAGGACGAGTTTATTTTATTTTTTTTAATTTTCCCCCGCTACAGAATTTCTTCAAAACCCTCCACATTTCGAAAGCTACCTTAACCAAACTTTACACACATAATTCATACACAATACTCTACTTTTGTTTCAAATCAAATCAAAATCGGTTAATTCTACGAAAAGTTACTAGCGAAACAATTTCAAACCGGTACTACGCCCACAAGCTGCAGCATCAAGTTCGCTCTTCTTCTTTCCTCTGCTTCTACTAGAGGCACATATACCTCAGTGTCGGAAGTTTATCTGGGTACAGGGTATTTCACTGTCGGGCTCGCTCGACTGTAGCGTTTTCTCTTGTTTTGTTCTGTTTTTGTGTGGCGTGTAAATTGGACATAAATAAAACTTTTTATTTATGCTCTTCTTAATTGCCACACTTTCAGCTTAAAGTTGCCTATTTTGTTTCTATTTATTTACATTTGACTTTGTAATTTGTAATATTTATGACATTTTGCTATTTGCGGTTCAGTTTGTGGTTTTATAATTGAACATTTCGATTTGATTTGTTTCATTTTCCAGCAACAAGCATTCGCTTTAAAGAGACGCTGAATTGAAAAAAAATATATAATCGGTAAGTAAATGCTTATTAATGCATAAAGATAAGTACTATTGTGCTATTGTGTTATTTTATGTTGATGTACTTATTTTAAATGTTGTTTGTTTTTGTGATTATATGCAATGCGAGTTAATTCACCCATGTAATCCCATTTATAAACAAGATAGAAATTTACAGTTGAGCAAAGGCGACAACTAAGTACGCTATACTTGAATTGTACATTTTTGTAATTTGTAATTAGTCTAATATATGTTATGGAATCTTCCAGTATGATAGGCAATAGAGCAGAATATGTAAATTTTGTTTACTGTTAATGCTTGCATTGGCCGATGCAACCAACGAAAGGACGCGTTACCTGAAGCTCACCCAACAGCCAAAATTATGCAGGCAACAACCGCTTTAGTGACAATCAAGCGGCATTAATTAAAACTTAAGGACGATTGTTCCACTCTAAGAGACATACAATACTATATAACAGCAAGTGATACATAAGTCAAAAAGTTAGTTATTTTATGAACATTGCAAGGTTTGTGTTAAGCATCGCATCCTAAAACTGAGCTTAAGACGCATTGACTATCCATTTTAACTAACATTTAATCAAGTAGTTCCTACATCTTCCCCATTCAGAAAGAAATAGTTACGGTTCATATAATTTTGTTAATAATACTAAAAGGTTTCACATGAAGCCTCTACTATTATAAGTAGCACACAATCATTTTTTTTCCTACATGTATGCATGTGTATATTCCAATATATATCCATTATTGCTCAATCCGAGCAGGTGAGGGATTTATTTAGTTTTACTCGAAGATTCTTACTTACAAGTATTGCAATAAATTTTTCTACTTGGCAAACATCTTTGTCCTTCTCAGCTCTCGCCCCCTTCCTATACAGTAACACACACAAAACAAATGCACACAATTTAAGTGCAATTGAATGACTTTTCATTATATAAAGCAAAAACAAAAGAAAGACAGAAAAGAGCACTCAACTTTTTCAATGGAGGCGCATCGATGACAAACAAAACAAGACAAAAATGAACAAAACAAAACAAAACAGACCAGAAGTTGGTAGACAGGACCTACGTACAAGTGCTGATTTGGGTGCAGGCAATATAAACAATTCAATGAATATGCACAGAAGGAAGAGACACGCAAACACACACACACACACTTACATATGTGTATGTACTTACAATGTAAAACAAACACATGCCAAATTGTTGATGCGGCAATGAAAAGTGTAAAGGAGGAAGAGCGGGTAGAAAGTCAAAAGGAAATCAGCAGCAACAATTGCTGCCAACTGAAATCTGTTGTGAGAAACGACAAGTGAAGTAAGTGAAGTAAGTGTGTGTACTCGTATGTGTGTATGTGTGCGGGCCACAACAGTAACAAAAGCAACAAAAACAGCAGCATCGACTGAAAATACTTTTCAATTTTCTGCTCAACAACTGCAGCGACTTGCCAGCGGCCGAACTACAGACATTACTGCTGACGATGGTACCAGCGTCATCCTTGTTGTTGTTGTTGTTGACACTAGTGCCTGCCTGCCTGCCTGCCTGCCTGCCAGTGGTTGCCACAGGCAGCGCCTGCTTGCCACATTGACTGGCGTGACTACTGTCTGTCGTCTCTCTGGCTAAGGTATGTGCGTGATTAAAAAAAAGGAAAGTAAATTGTTGTTTCCCATGCTTCAAATACCATTTGTGCCATCGTGCTCGAAACACATTCAAAATATATTAACAATTTAATTACGTTGCTCTCTCTGGTAATGGTAATTTCAATAGCTATAGTATGAGTACATTAATATCTCTTTGATTTTAATTTGCAAAGTAAAACGGATCACATTCCGCTCCCATTTTCGAGTAAGACTATATCGATCTAAATGATTTCGAAACATTTCCAAAATGCAAGATATTTGAAGTTAGACGCACGTGTAGGTTGGAAGACACTTTTTATAAAAATTATTTTTCAAATAAATGATCTCAAAGTTCTTTAGAAAATCATTTAAGTTGTGCTTTATAATCATTCACAGACATTCACTTATAAATTTTATTTTAATATTTCCCCAAACATTTAACTAAAAATTATTTCTTATATAAATGATCTAAAAGTTCTTTAAAAATTCATTTGAGTGAGCACAATACTTGTATACAAATAAGTTGTGTTTTATAATCATGAGACATTCAATTTTAATTTTATTTTAAAAAACATTTCTATTACGTGCGAAAATAGTTTTAGACACACTCGTATGTTTATTGGTAAAAAAAAAACAAGTAAAAAAGCTAAAGTCGGGTGTCCCGACTTTGAAATACTCTGTACATATGTTTACAATAATTATAGAAAATAAAAAAAAAATAAATAAAAAAAAATTGGATCGATTTTACCTCTCTCGGTATTCGAACTCACGTAAAGGGTGTATAATTGCACATTTACATAGCAATTGCGTCTGTGTGAGTGTATGTATGCCTATGCGCATCAATTCGTGTCTGTGTAAGCATTTTCGCAGTCAACCAAACAGCAACATCAACAACAGCCGCGGGCAGCGTTTGAGCAGCGCTGCAGCAGCGCTGCTGCAGCAAATATATTTATGGCTATAACTTCTTGGTAAATCGGTCTATCATAATGAAATTTGGCATACGGACACATAATAACTAACTGGGGGTATTTGCAAAATTTTAGTTCGAAATTCCAAGAATTACGGGAGTTAGAGAAAATCGCATTTGCGGTGGAGAGGGGGGAGGGAGGGAAATTCCAAAATATACATTTTCTGCGTATTCACACAAGGCATCTTGGACTAAAATTTGGTGTACCTAGGTCTTATAGTCTCCGAGATATAGGCGATTATACGAATGGAAAATCGGGAAAACCCCCATAGGGGGGAAGTGGGGGGGAAAATCAAAAAAATAAAACAAACTCGTATAGAATACACACATAACGCATCTTTGTGGAAAATTTGGTGTCTCTATCTCTTATAGTCTCTGAGATCCAGGTGTTCATACGGACGGACAGACGGACAGACGGACAGACAGACAGACAGGGCTAGATCGACTCGTCTTGTCACGCTGATCAATAATATATATACTTTGTGGGGTCTGCCACGCCTCCTTCTGCCTGTTACATTTTTCAGCTCCCGCAAACCTAATATACTCTTGTACATTTCATGTACAGAGTATAAACAACTGCAAACTGCAATTTTCAATGTTCTTATTTTCATGTACTCAATTGTTTTTTTCTTCTTCATTTACATAATGGGATGTCTTCTCTTCGGCGTCATCCCTTTGAAAAACGAAAGGCTGTTTTATAGCAGCTGGTATTTATATGGGGAGGGACGAAGATGTTCAAGTTCTAGTGAATAAACAAGCTGTCGAAGAAACTCTGGTGAAGGAGACATATATTAAGCCATCGAATAAAATGTGCTTAAACGAAGATGTAGAAATGCAAGAAGCTTTTGCAAACGAGTACTTGTACTGCCTTAAAAGAAAAGTAAAAATTAAAGTTGTCTGGATTAACAATATGATGACCTTATGGGCTGATTTCAGAAGGAATTTCCGATATTCAACTATCATGGGCACAGAAAAGGTGCCAAGCAATCGTGTCATATTTATAGGATTACATTTTATATAAGAATATCTACGTTTTTTTCTTCATATCGTATTTTGTTTTAAAATTGGCGCCCATTTTATTGCTTCTCACGATCACAAACGATTATCGCTCATCTCTAAGCCCGGGCGGCGTCGTAGTGCTGCAGGCGCTGCACTGTATGCTATATTTTTCGTTTTCCATGGTGCGTATGAGTGATTTTTGTAGTCTTTACTTTGGTGGGTCTTGGTTGTGTTGCATACCCGCTGAATTTATTGCCAGCGAAATATTTTGTATGGCACGCAAGTTGAACTTTTAAATTTATTTCCTGCATACATGTTTTAGTTTTCTTTAGAAATAAGTTAACGAAAATTGTTGCCTAAAGTTGCTAGTGCCGCTACTGTTGTTTTTTGTTTTTAGACAATGTTTTACTTTCTCTGGCATATCTCTCTGATGTGTCCGCCTTGCTCTCTGTCTGTCTGTATGTCTGTCTTGGGGTGCCTGTTGGCAACGCAAAACTTGGCACAACAAAACAAAACAAACAAAGTTGAAAGCACTTCAAAGTGTCGAAACAAAAGTGTCAAAAAGCTGCTCCAATTCATTTTAGGATGCGGTGGAAGGGGCAGAGTAACCAATGCTCTATGTGAAATTCTTTCACTTGGCAAATTAATAGGAAAAACTTGTACATGCTTTGGTACGACTATTTCTATTGTTTATTTATTATCGTTTATTGCCAAAAGTTATTCGGCTTCTATGCAGAAACAATTTAAAAATAAGTTAAATATTTATTTATTTTTTCAAGCTGAGAATATTTTTGTTGTTTAGAGATTATTATTTTCAATATGTTGACTAGATATTTGTGTAGTACTTGAGCTCTGATTCATATTTCAATGCATCAATACGTTTGTATGATGCCTTGATTTATTAGGTATGCAAATGAATCAATAACTACTGCAAAGACTCTTAGTGAAAGTTTGTTAAGATATTCCTAATTTAAGAATTTATACCCATCATTTTAAATTCGTTTATCAATTGCCAATCCGTAGATGTATCGGGGCACCCGACTTTGTAAAATAATTATACAAAATTTAAAACTTCAAAAAAATTTAAAAGAAGAGTAAGAAAATTGTTTTAAAAAAAACTATGTATTCACATTACCTTGGTATATACATAATAAAAAATGCTTCTGCGACAGTGCATAAAATCTTAAATTGATATTTGTTTGCCTGCCAAAAACATGCTGCTAAAAGGCCATAACGGGTTCAGGTGCCAAGTATCATATCACATATATCGTATAAGCTGTATATAGTATAGGTAACTGTACCATGTTGAGTGAAATAAACAATTTATCACTTGTAGTCATAAATAACGCAAAAATACAGTGCTAAACATAAAAATAGATACAGCCAGCGGGTCATAAATGTTGGTACAAGATGA